ACATGAGTCAAGGGAAAAAAGGAAGTTATGGGGATAGCAGTGGGCTCACCGTATTGGAAGAGAGGGAAAAGTAACATCGTGTTTCAAAATGCCATAATGAAACCTAGTATTATGTATGCTGATTAAAATACTTGTCTTCTTTACTTTTTTATGGCTGTGATAAGACCTCATGCCCGAGGAAACTTGTAAAAGAAAGCATTTATTTGGAGCTTGTAGTTTCAGAAGGTGAATCCATGACCACCATGGAGGGGCGCATGACGGCAGGCAGGCAGGCAGGGTCCTAGAGTAGCGGCTGAGAGCTTACATCTTGAACCACAAGCACAAGGCAGAGAGCACTAACTGGACATGACAGGTGCTTTTGAAACCTGACAGCGCACCTGGTGACGCCTCCTCCAACAAGGTCACACCTCCTAATCCTTCCCAAACAATTTCACCAACTGGGAACCAAACATTTAAATATATGAGTCTATGGGGAGCATACTCATTCAAACACCACAATGTTCTTAGTAGGCATAAAAGACAGCAGGGATCCCTGAAGGGTAGAATGTTTGTTATGTAGTTAGGTTGATGGAACGATAACTTAATCTGGTTATACCACAAAAAATATGACCTTATTGGGTCATGAAACAGGTTCTCCCAAAAATCTTTTACAGAAAAGAGCAAAGGGTGGCTTTGGATGATAGTACTGCTGAGGATTCATGGCTAGCTTAACACAAAATACCAGTAAATAATGTTCCAGGTGAGTAACAAAATGTCTTATACACCCTTATTGTTCTACTTATTTACCAATGGTTGTAATATAAAATATCTAACATATACTGATTTTCAATTAGAACAAAACTTTCAAGTAGAACAAAAATTGTAAAATAGGTGAGATTCTGTAAGGATTTCAAAACATCTTAGCATCATAAAGAGCTATAACTAACCAAATGAAGCTGAACAGGTGACACAAATCTTAGCTTATTTATATTTGAGACGCTATTTCTCCAAGTACAAACTGGGAGCGAGTTGAACTTAAAGCATCTTTTATTAAAAGGCTGTAGCTGGATAATATAAACATGCTGCAGGGACAAAACACCACACTAATGTTTTTTAAGAGAGACCCCATCAGCATTAAATGGAGATGACAGTCTGTACGTAATAAGTGCCACAGACAGCTTTAGCAGAGGTAAGGTCCAAACCCGACCTCTCCATCATCCCTCAGAAGAATAACAGAAATCACATCCACCTGATGAGGGACAAGGGACCTGGAGTCCAAGCCAAGCAAGGGCTGAGCATGCCTGGAGAACACAGGGCTTCCGGGGAAGGTGTGCAGTCTCCAGTGCCCACAGCTTTAGTTTATACGTTGTGGTGCCTCACTTGGAAAACAAACCTCCAGTCTAACCAGGGAGCCTAGATTTTGTTTCCCCCCAGAATCGAGAACTTGAGAGGAAATGTGCTCAAGTCTTTTGTGAAATGGTGCTGACAAAGACCCAGACTGTTAAAATATTGTAGAGTCATGGATGGCAGGGCGGGATGCTTCTGGTGTTCAGTAGCTCACAGCAGTGGAAACCGCCTATGAAGTTTCTTCACGTTCTAGTTTCTAGGCATCTAAAGCATGCTTATCATTTCCTTTCTTCAGACCATCTTTCGTTTGTTTGTTTTTTTTTTCATTTTTCAACACTTAACGTTTACTTTCAGTAAAGGTATATGTGTTTGGATTGTCTGACACTTGGTCTAAGAGTTGCACATTAGGCTACATCTTGAAGTCAGTTTTAAATTTGCACATGAATGTGCATGCATGTACTCCACACACATCTATGCATACTCACACATGCACATAATCACACAGGTGCACACTCACACACACACACACACACACACACACATTTGCCATGTACAGGGTGCTACCACAGTCACTGAGAGGTAGGACCCCAAACCGATACCAAGCTGTAGAAAAACACACATGGTGTTAAACTAGATTATATCTCCGCCAAGTCTGAGTTCTTTAAGAAGTTGAGTATGTAATATCTGATGGAAAAAAGCATTCCTCTCATTTATCTGTTTCAAGGTTGCCCATTTCATAGGCCTTATGAGACCAAAAGTAAACCCAAAGGATTTGTGGAAATGTCTCCTTTAAAAGACTCCCTTGTGCACATAACAAAAGACATCCATATTACAGCCCATACATTTGAATCCCTAAATTAAGGGTCTGCTACTGGTACTGTCACCCTTGAGTGGCAAAGAGATGATAATTACAACACTAGTCTTGATTTTCAAACTTGATTTGTAATCCCTTATACACATTCCTATCAGTGTCCATATGGGATTAATTCTAGGATTCTCCTGGATGCAAAACTCTGCAGATGTTCAAGTCCCTCAGCTGTAATGTCAGAGTGTATGCACACAACCCATACATATTCTCTCATACACCTTGATCATCTCTAGATTATTTATAATACCCCAAATATATAATAGTTGTACTAAATGACAAGAAAAATATCTACACATGCTTAGCACACACACAATTTTCTTCCAAGTATTTTTGTATTGCAGATGATTGAATCTACAGCTGTGAATTTGAAGGGCTACCTCAAAGATCAATAGAGAAGGTGATTGTGTAACAAAGATATTTCTTTTCCACTTCCAAATGGTGCCACTGAACTAAGAAACTATTTTGGTAGATATGTAAACAATCTATTATGACAGTGTTCTTTTTGGGAAAACAATTTATCAAACAATCATAGCAAATCCTAATTTGGAAGTATTGTGGGCTACAAGAGGTGGATGCTAAATATAGCTTCAACTTACAGGGAGATTGAGTCATAGCTGAAAAGACTTGCAAAAAGGATAGAAGACTAAAATCTGTCATGCGCTTCCCTAAAAGCTTTCGGAGTATCAGCTGCTTTAATAGTCACTCAGCTCTGAAGAACAGCAGATACAAACAATCTTAACATGATCACTGAAGTTTCCCTACTCCTAGACTCTTTACAGATCTGTTGCTGACTTAGACAAATGCTCCTTTCCATATCTCCCCTTCCCATCAGCTTAACTCCTACTCCAGTAGTTCTGACCCTTTTTTAACGGTCTCTGCCTTCTCTGAACATCATTCAAATCATGTGCGCCTTAGTTTCCTTTAGAAAGGCTGTTCCTGTTCCAGGGGTGCACTCTTCCATCTGCTACAGCCATAGCAATCCTTTCCTGTTAGACTTCCCACCTGCTTCTTCCTTGGGCGGGGTGTCACATCTCCCGCCGTCCACACTGTAGACTTGACCACAACCGTCTGTCTCCATATGGCCACACACCTCACGATGGTCCTTACAGCTCTCGCCTCCTTATCCCTGATGGTCACCCCCCCCCCCCCACAGTCTTGGCCCTTTCTTTCTGACTTCATTATCCTGGTGCTCTCTCACCTACACTCCCTGCGTTCCTCGTATCTCCCCTCTCCTTTTCTTACATGCCCTCTTTTTTCTACTCACTTGACCGGTATTCACACATATCCTTCCCTCGCGTTCTTTTGTTCTCCTTAGATACTTTCCTACCACATACAGGTCAAACTGTCCTAGTCCGTTCATTTCTGCCCATCATGCGCATTTTCTCTGGTGGTTTTCGGCATCCTCTGAGTGACGAAGTTGCACTCATCTGATCCCTAGACTCCTCTTCCAATTCCTTGAAGCCTCTCCTCCCCGAGTAAGAGTACGGATATTTAGAACTCCTTTCCCTATTGCCTCACTCTCAAGACAAGACCCCCGACCTTTCTCTGCAATATTTTCACAGTTTTGACTTCTTTCCACGAGGAATCTCTCCCTGCTTCTCCCAGCTATTTTCTCTTGGTCCATGGACCTTCAGGATCCTTCACCCTGCTGTTTCTGTATCTGAACTTTACTTTTCTTCTTTGAGAAACCTTACTTTAGGATAAAAGAGAATAGTCACAGAATGAAATCTATCACTCCATGTTTTGTTATTTCCTACCGTCTCTAGTCTCTACTCTTCTTTCTGGTCCCATTGGATCCATCTCTCCACTACTGTTTGCCTTCTCATACAAACTCACTGCACATCCACCATCTTATACCAAAAGCAAGCACTCATACACAGGACTGGTACATCTAATATTTCTTCTTTCATTGTGGAACTTGTCATTGGTCCAGTTTGGCTAGCCACTGTACTAGAGAAGAATGCAGATTTGAAGTTGTCTGCAATGGTCTGGAGGGCAGGCATGCACACATGGGCATGTTTCTCATGCTGTGTCCATTCCCTCCTGAGCTCCTGACCCACTGTCTAGTCATTGAAAAAAGATTTCTCACTTGTCCACCTGCTGTTTTCCCTCCTCTTCCATACCTCGAACCATTGCCATAGCTGCCTAGATTAGCTTGCAACCCCAAACAGTAGCCATGAACACACTAACCTACAAAACCTCAGTCTGTGTCTAAGTAAGAAATGGCGGTGATTTCAGCATAGGTGTTCTTCTCCCAGGTACCTAAAGTCACATTCTTTTGGTTCCCTTCCCAGCTATGACCTAGGAAATAGAAAGACCCTTGGAACCTTCATCCCAATCCAGTAAAGTCTATGTTGTCATAAGTTAGAAGTACTATGACATCATCCTAGCCAAGAATTGCCCACTTGCTATGCTATTTTAGATATCAACCATACCTCATTCTTTCTTCCTCTTAACCCACCATTCACAAAAAAATAATTTTGGTAAAAATAAGTTAGGATTCACAGTAACAAATTCATAAAGCTTCATCCAATAGCTTCCGTGCCAATCACATTTCTCCTGTGATACTTTTCCTACAAGGCCCAACATTGAGAGGGCTCCAGACTCACTTTCAGTTCTGGGTTTGGGAAAAGACTATTTTAGTGTCAGAACTAAAGGAAGTACACAAGGTGCCCAAATCATCCTCCAGTGGAGAAACGGGCCCATGAAAAACGCCAGGGCCCATATGGTGACACCCAATGGGGACCCCTCTTGAGGGTTGCATCTAACAAACACCCAGACAAGTAGTCAGAAACACAGCTTTTCATTCACAGAAAAACACCCAGTAGTTACTGTTTTATTGCATACAAAGGACACCAACTCAAATGTCTAGGGAGGAACTAAAACCACAGAAACTGATGTAACATTTACAAGCAGCATGGCCCGATTCTCTTCAGAACTCCTAATGGGTAAAGGGAAAAATGATATCGGCTCTCTTCCTTCTTAAAGCCTGGCTTGGGAAGACCTGGGGCCAAGTCCACAGCCTTTCAAAATCTTTCAATCCTGTTCTCTTTGCAAGAGTGCCTCAATGCTGTTCTTCCCCACAGCCCCCCTCACAAGACCTCTTCACTCTTTAGTCGCAGAGGCATGGCTATTCTTCGTTTTGTCTTTTACCTCCTCTGGAAAGGGCTGCTCAAGGGAAGAGGCAATCTGCTCCCCTGGCATTTTGCTTAGTGAGGACACTGTCTCTGGTCTAGGGCCTTTAGGAAGCCCATTGAATCCAAACGAAGGCTGTTTGCTCATGGTCTCAGCACACGGAGCTGGAAGCAGGTCTGGAAAGTAGCCCTCTATCCCCAGGGGTTGCCCCAGAGTCTGCGGGCAGAGTGGACCTGGGAAGGGGGGTTCTGGCAAACAATGGCCACCCCAGGGTCCTGGACCTGTGGAGTCAAAGAACATGGGGATTATTGGAAAGGACGAAGGGCATCGAACACCACTGAATTGCGAGTCTCTTCCTTCTCCCTCAGGATCATGGCTTAGGTCCTCAGTGCAGCCTGAGTGAAATATTAATACCCGCCTCTCCTCTGGGATCAGACAGGCTCTTGTGAATTTAGTAGACCATGGATAGAGGTCGAGTGCTGGATCATGTAGGCGTGGAAGCACCTGGACATCTTTTATTCCCCCCATGGAACTCTTTCACTCATGAGATGGAGGGCTTTGGGGTTTCAGATGTCTAGGTAGTCCAGCAAAATGGCTGATAACCAATTCTGTACCAGGCCCTCTTGTTCATTATTTCCAATGGTCCCCATATCCCTTCAAGCAATATTGAAACTAGTGCTCCAATGCTAGGTCAAGTTTCAGAATAGCTACAAGCAGGGGTTAAGCATGAGGTTTGCTCACCACCTGTGGCCTGCCTCAGTCTCCCTTCCAGGTAAGGAGACTATGTGTCTTTCTCAACTTCAAACCAAAGTGGGGGAAATCACCCTTTCCAGCCCCAACTCACCCATATTTCCAACATGTGGCTGTAGCAAGATCTGACCTGGTGGGGGCCCTGGGCAATAATCCTGCGACGAGTCCCCACTGAAGCCAAAAGGAAAGGAAAAGAGGGACTCTTGCGGTGGTAGAAAGCTTGGGATGGGGAACGGGAAGGGGGGCGGGTAAGGAAACTGAGACAGAAAGGGTGGGAAGAGACGAGTCTGTGGAGTCTGGGAGAACTGGAATGAACCCAACTGGCTGCTTGCAGGGTAATCCTGAGGCCCCAGGTCTTCCAGACTTGAGCAGGTGGGTGGTGAGGTGATGCTGTGCAGGACAGAGGAGTATTTAAGTGAGGCGCGACAGTGACCTCATTCCCCCTTGGCCAACATCAAACCTTGGACATCAACTTCTACCCCTCAGGCCCCCGCCCCCAGCCCTGCTCGTTGCTTCCCCTTGTTTTTCTTCTATTGTTACAAAACACTAGATCATTCCTACCCAAGACACACGCGTCCTTTTACTCCCCATCACATAAGCCACTCTTCAACCCGCTCAGCCCTTCCCTTCTCCCTAAGGTTGCCTCTGAACTTAGATCCCATACCTGGTGCCCCAAGACCCACAGGAGCTGTCCTTGTGTATGCCGTCACTTCCAGGGACATCCCTCAGTGGAGGCATCACTTGAGGGGTTTGGACAGGATCAACAGGAAGAGGAAGGTTGGTCCTTCGAAGCGGCGGGGGGCTGAAGAGTGGTGGGGTCACTGCTACCCTCTGAACACCCTCGCTGTGCTGAGAGGGGGTCAGAGTCTGGTCGGAAGTCAGCAGCATGGGGAGCTCTAGGAAAATACGCCAAATAGGGGCTCTCAGCATAAGAAGGCGGCGGGAATAAGGAGACAACTGCCGAACGGCGGCAGACGGTGGACGCAATGCCCAGGGATCCCTGGCTCAGGACTCCGAAAGGCTGTCCTCACTGCCACCTCTACAGAGCAAGGACTTTCTCTTCCGGCTGTCTTCTTCGCCTTAATTTTCACCCCCAACCTCCCCTCCCTTCCCCCGCGCCACCTCAAACTTTCTGGAAGTGGTAGCGCACCTGGAAAGTCATCCAAAATGTGCTCTGGAGGAACAGGGCCAGGGTCCAGGTCTGCGGGCGTAGGAGCCAGGAGCTCAGGTGCAGACCTGGAGGAGGCAGAGGGAAGGAAGACTGCAGCTTCAATGACTGCTGGATTTAGAGCTCACATTCAGAGCAAGGAGAGAGCCACTTAAAGGCACCAGGGACTCCTAGACTCCAGCCCAAATTTCTTGAAGGATTGATAGTCAATTACACCCCGCCCCCCTTAGGAGGAGACTTCGGACTCCGCCATTAGCCATGTGGCCCTCTAGAGGCCCATATGGATGGATGTAGTAATGATGGGGCGGTTCACCGCGCTCCTAACCACGCCCACTTTGGGTGTAACTAGCATATGGATCTGAGAATGAAAGGTTGGTGAACTACATCACTAGCCAGGCCCACTTTTGGGCGTGGCTAGAGGCGTGTATGGAGATTCTTATAAAACACTACCAGAGCTGCTCTCTCCTCTATCTTTTCAGAAAGCTGCTTGACTCATCTGGGCTGCCCGTTTTCTCTTGTAATTTCTACAATAAACAGTTAGCTATACCCTCAACAAGAGTGCCATTGATCGTTACAGCTACCCCCCAAGCACTCACACTCCGCTTCCGACATTCCCCCTGAAGACCCCCCAGCACTCCTTGTGTGCACAATACTTGTGCTTGGTGGGGACAGCCCATGACCAGGAGCCATTCGTACCTGCTTTGACTGCTGTCAGCACCGGGGGCTGCAGGGCCATCCCCGGTCCCCTTCTCGCTCAGCTTCTCCACTTTCCGCCACTTTGCCCTGCGGTTCTGAAACCACACCTACGGGCAGAGGAAGGGCATCTGCCTTTGGGAATGCTGGCCTAGACAAACGTTTTTGGTGTTACTGTGGAGGACGCTTTCCCGTCTTTACTTGGAAATATAAAAAAAGACCTCTGTGGCTTCTTCCTTCCTCTTTTAATTGGTTAAAGCCGTGGCCGGCCCATGGAACAGCTGGCACACCCCTGCCTCAGAGACTGACTGCAGTCGCTATCCCAGCTGAGACTGAGCACATGGATGGCCCCCTTCCAGATAGTTCTGGCCAGCAGCTTCCATACCACCCTCCTGACCAATTAGCCAGCCCCCTTTACCATGATGCGATGGGAGGTGACCCCCACCATCTGGGCAATCTCGCGACGCTTTTCACTGTCCGGATAGTGGTCTTCCTGGAATATCCGTTCCAGTTCCTCCAGCTGGTCTGCACAAAGAAGGCACTTATTGCAGAGGCCAGACACGGCAGCAGGACAGGGAAAAAGGAGACACCCATCGGCACCCATAGCAGATTCGGGCGTTTGTGCCAGAGCAAGAGCCACACCCTCCTCTCACGCATAGAGTGATGTATGCATTTCTGACCCTTTTATCCAGGTCTAACAAGACAAGACAGCCTGCCTGGCCTTGCCTTCAGGGGTCAGAGGTGTTGGCACTGCCTTTGGATAAAGAGAAACGTGCAGGATAAAGTGAACAATCGTACCCCACAGATTTCCATTTTCCTCCACCTACTGGAACTAACCTGAGCGGTACAGGGTTCGAGTCTTTTTCCGAAACGGATAGGTCACTTCTCGGGGTTCCTTCTTCTGGTCTGCTTGAGTGCTCTTGGCCAATGTATTGAGGAGACTGGGAGCTAAGCCTGGTTCAGAAAGCATAGGTTTGTGCGTGGCACATGTTGAGTGACATCTTGAAGACGACGTTAACGCCAAGCCCGTGGTGTTAGGATTCCCGTGCTTACCAAGGACTGCAGAAATGGATGGCTTTGCTGTCTTTACCTTTCTCTCTGGGAGAGAAGAAACTTCTTCCTCAGGCTGGCGACTACACGCAGCTGGTGTTAGGTCTTTGTCATGGTTGCTGACTCTGCAGGTGTCAGTACCTGGTGACTCTTTGGGGGTCTTTGACAGTGGTCTCTTTCCTGAACCAGTCCTGGGCAATGAAGACTGCTTATCTTGGTCATCTTCAGTAGGTGGGGCAGAATCCTTCAGTGGTCCCTCGGACTCCAAGCCAGCGGTCCTGGGCTTGCCTCCAGCTTCCTGGCCTATGGAGAGCAGCAGCCGATGGCACCAGGTGGTAGAGTCCCTTCCTCCCTGCAGCTGATCTGCTGTTAGAATCTATGCTTCCTTTTGCCCTGTCTTCCCAACGAGGCCCAAATGCCTGGCATACCTTCCTAACTGGACACTCAGGAGGATGGATCAGATAGTTCTCAACCTTTCTAGCACTGCAACCCTTTGATACAGTTGTGACCCACCCAACCATAAAATTCTTTTCTTTTCTTTTGGATTTTTCGAGTCAGGTTTTCTCTGTAGCTTTGTAGACCAGGCTGGCCTCAAACTCAGAGATCCACCTGCCTCTGCCTCCCGAGTGCTGGGATTAAAGGTGTGCGCCACCACCACCCAGCTATAAAATTATTTTCTTTGCTACTGGTTTGAATCATAATATAAATACCTGCGTTTTCCAGTTGGTCTCAGGAGACTGGGTCCCCTGTGAAGGATTGTTCACCCTCCCCACCCTCTATACACACACACACACACTACACACACACACACACACACACACACACACGTTACAACCCATAGGTTGAGAACCACTGGGTTAACTATTCCAACTGCTTTGGAAAATGTAAACACCTACTGTAACTGTCGGGAGCGATCATTGTTACTTAGAACATCTAGTAAATATTGCCAGCCTTTTTAAAGAATAGCCCATTGTGTTAAAGAATATTTACCTTCAGTCCCATTCAATCAACCTTCTTCCCCCCTCCCCAGCTTCCTAATGAACAGAACTTGGGTTCACAGGAATAGCTGATGGCAAAACAGGGAAACATTCTACAATTAGATCGCTTAACCCCTCCCTCTGCGACCTTTTCACCTGCCAACACCTGTTACCTGCTCGCCTTCAGTGGCCTGGTTACTAGGCAATGACTCCTCTTCCTTTGATTACTCCGCCCTACCTCGTTTCCCCCACCCTAACTTGCTATATAACGCCACCTAAGGAAAATAAAATCTCATAACTTGATCAGAAAGCCTGTCTTGCTGCCCCGTTTCTGTAGTCGCCTGTCCCATCATTCCAGGTTCCTGGGGGGCTAGACCTTCATCCCATCATTCCAGGTTCCTGGGGGGCTAGACCTTCATCCCATCATTCCATGTTGGGGGGGCTAGACCTTCCTTGTGCCCTGCTGGCCAGGGCAACAACCCTGGGGGGGTGAAAGCTGGGTACGCATTTTCTTCATTTTCCCCCAGACATCAGGGTACAGAAGTTCAGGTACCAGGTTTGATGTTTCTAATGGACAACCGTTGGGGAAGGGGAGAGTAGGAAGAGAAAAACAGGTCCATTCTGGCTTTCCACAGGCTAGCCCCCTCTTCCCTGGGACCTACACACACACACACACACACACACACACACACACACACACACACACACACACACACACACACACAGAGGTTCCCTGGATCTCCACAGAGAGGGAATCCCGGAAAAGATGCCTCTTCTTTCCCTACTCCCTCCCCACTCCTAGCCCTCCTCAATCCATGTGCTCTGGCCACTCCCCCCTGCCCCACCCCCTGCCCTCTTTCCATCCAGTTCAAGTCCTCTACTGGTGAGGGAAAGCACCCATCCAGAAGGAAAACCCCCTCCACAAGTCACAAAACGCAACCCCCGCAACTCTGAGCCCCATTACAGATGGGGCTTGCCATGGGTGCTGACAGGAGCACAGTACCCATTAGATCCCCATGAAGCAGGCACGCCCCCGGCCCCCAGTGAAGAAACGGGGATAAAGTTGGTGGAATAATTCGCCCAAGATCACACAGCGATGGGGTACAGGGACACAGGCTGCCTTCAGCCACCACCTGGAACTGTTGCCAGGATCCCCAACACTTCCCTTCTTTTCGGCATGTATTCATAACAGAAGAAAATTCACTTCAAGGGAGTTGCTGTCCTTCCCAACGAAACCAGAAAATGTGTAAATGAATGCTAACTAAAGCCTTTGATGTTGGCTCTAACAAATAACTTTCTAACAATACATACAACTAGGGGGCAAGTCCTGGCTCAGAAGTCTCTTCCAGCTGATTCTAAATACACCACGGAAACACTTCAGAGAAGTGGGGGGGGGCAGCTGGGGAGGGTGAGGGGAGAAGGGTGGACCAAGGAAGGCTGGGACAAATGAGCTCTACAACGGTTTAGGAGAGCTAGCAGCACAGTAATAAACATGGTACAGAGTGGACACTCAACAAGCTTGGATCTTGTTGGACTAACCTAAGGTGAAGGGTCTCAGGCCCTAGTTCAGAGCAGTGTTGGAGACTTAAAACCAACTTTATCCCTAGCCCGTCGTCGGGAACGATCCCTAAACAGAAGAAGAACGTGGTGAGGTCGCCTCCCTTCCTCACTACCTCCCACAGTCCTAAGCAGCCTCTTAAGACCTGCAGAGTGGCCAGCAGACCTCACAGGCTCAGCAAGCCCTCACCGAGGTCGACCCTGGTGCGCGCTTACCCCGCGTTTTCCTGCAGAGCGTCTCCGTGGGTTCCATGGCCCAGACTCCCACTCCTCAGCCCGCCCTTTTACCACAGGCGCACCTTAATGAAGTCCGTGGAGTGGCCAGGTGTGTGGAGTCGGCCCAGGCCAGGGCGCGCGCAGCAGGAGCCTGCGCCCCCAACCCCACCCCGAGGGCGAGGCACAGCACACCTGGGGTGGGGGCGGGGGGGAGCTGGGAGATCCATCCTGCGGCTTCCTGCGAGCTTCTATGCAGCCCCACACGGGCACCAGGGTGATCTCCCTAAAGCTGGGGCAGGAACAGAGCAGCAGCAGACCTGCTGGGGTGTCTTTAAAGGTGAGGTTCCCAGGCTCAGCACACAGTCAATGAACATGATTGGCCCTTGTGTAAGGGGACTTCTGCAACCACTCATCAAGAGAGTCCCCGAATATGAGGCTGCCCCATTTCCTGCTTCTAGGATTTTTGTGTTCCAAAACCCGAACAGACTTGACTATCCTTAACATACAGATCCAGGGGCGAATGGCAGGATTGGAGCTGAACGCACCCCAAGCCTGGAGATTACATCTCTTGGACCCCCGTAGGGGGGAAAATGAAAATGATAAAATTCTCACTGCTGCTTACTTCTACCATGGGGGTGGGAGGGGTGAGGAATGTAAGAGCTGGCCAGACTGAACCAGCTGTTGGGAGCTGGGGGGGGAAGCTCAGGTGCTTCGGTTTTAGCCTTTCGGAGCTTCTGGACACCAGGCGATTTCCTGCCACATTAAGCAATCAGCTAGCGGGGCATTTTCCTGCGGTTTAAAATGGGCTTTCAGAAGCTTCCTCTACACACCCGTGGGTTCTGAGAGGCTGTGGGATTCTTAGTTCCATTTGAAACATAAAAATGTGAATTAACTAAGGGTCAGTAAGATGGTTCAGTGGGTAAAAACACTTGTTTCACAAACGTGATGACCTGAGCTTAGTCCCCAGTGAAACATGGGCGGAGAGAACCAACTCCAGAGAGTTGTCCTCTGACCTTCATAAGCCCTGGGTGGTGCACATGCGTACACACACACACACACACACACACACACACACACACACACACACACAGAGAGAGAGAGAGAGAGAGAGAGAGAGAGAGATTAAAATGCAAGCTAACTTCATAGCAGTATAATCATAAGTTTAAGCCTCTGCTATTCATTTCTCTGCCCCCATAAGACTGACACCCTGTTACAGGAGACTTTTAGACACAATACCCAGTTTCTGTACTAGAAAATTTGTAGCATTGCAGATCAGGCAAGCAAGGATTGGGAGCATTAAAGGGATTCTCTACAGGAAAAACGGAGATCTGTTGGGCCCCAGCCCCCATGGGGTCTCTGAGTCACTGGCCAGCCATCAAGAGCATCCTGTTGTCTAGTCCTGGCTTACTGCCCCAGCCTTGTCCTGCTGACATCGACGTCTAGCAGGAGGAAAACACAATCTCTTCCACCTGGGGTTTTTCCACTGTGTTGTAAGCCTGTATATAAGACTGCTCTCTCTCTCTACGATAGGAGAGAGCCCTCTTAGCACTTGCGATAAAGACACACAGACACACACACACACAGACACACACAGACACACACAGACACAGACACACACACACACACACACTCTTGTCTTTCAGTTAAATCTCCAGGCTTTTGCCTGATATATTAGACTCACTTGTGGCGTGGGCCTCACAAAGATCATTGGTTAATGACCTGGTTGTAGCTGGAACACTATGGTTTGCTTGTGTATACATTTAAAGGACATTGACAGTGTGCCAGAGACTGGCGGGGGGGGGGGATGTCTGCTTTGCCCACAGAAGCTTATTGGAAGACACAGACTGAAATATTAGGTCAGTGGAATGGGTTGTACCAATACTACATGGCCACTATTAACTGAGTCGGGGGCAGACTAGGGAACTTGGAGCAGCAGAGTCTCTCTTGGACCAGGAACCACTTCTTAGAAGTGCTGACTGTACTGTCCTGTTGGCTGTGTGACTTACCATGTTAGGACCTGCCTAAAAATCCAGCTAGCAAAGTCTTCTTTCTTCAGATAGGGGCCTTCCAGAGGCTGGCCCTCTGTACCCCATACCCTGGTGTCCAGACCACTTAGATCTTATGCCTTTAAAATTCTGCTGAAACCCGGCCATAACCCAGAATTTCTTAAGGAATTTGTTTAAAATATGCTTCAGGGTCCAATCCCTGAAATCTTAGTTTCTACTAGGTCCAAGGTGGGACCCCAGACACGTACTTTAACAAGACTCTTGGGGGATTCACTATGCTTCATAATTTGAGAGGCTCTTAGACTTTTGAAAAGCAAAGTCAATTAAAATCTTTCCTGGAGAGGGCTTTGGGTACAGCTCAGTGGTGCCATGTTTAGCGTGTTCAAAGCCCTGGGGTTGTTTCTCAGCACTCCAGAGCAAAACCAAAACACTTCTGGGGAATAGTTGGGGAGGCTGCAGGGGATGGTGGCCCAGAAGAGAAAAGGAAATGCTCCTTCTTCCTATCGTAGGGCATCACCTTGTGGTGAGAAGCAGGATACAATTGCTTAGATAGATTTACCTGTCACATTAAGAAAGATATGTCACCCTTCTGAGACCTTGATCCTGTTTTCATCTTTTTCTCACAGGCTGCTCCCTACCAAGGTGAAGGTAAGAAAAAACACTGCCACTGTATGGCTGGCTGTGAGTGACACAGGGTCTAATTACGTAAAAGGTTTTGGGTAGGGACTTGGGAGATTTAAAAAAAAGTTTGTTATTTTTCCAAACACATAACTGGGTTTGTTGGGGTTGGGATTTAAACTAGAACAGTTTCGTCTTTCTTTGCTTTTCTCCTCCTCTTGACCATCTGGGTGTGTTGTGCCTACTTTCCCTCTAAATGACACAGCTCGATGTTTTCTTTATTTACCTGAAGAATGGCTTATCCTCGATGGCTACAAGGGGATTTTGTGTAGGATGTACAACGTGACCTGCCTGTCAGGAGGGTGTGGCATTGACAATACGTACCATAAGCCCTACCTGGGATGGAACAACTTGAAGGGGTCATGTCATGGCAGTTAGCAGCCATTCCAGACAAGAAGACATCTCTGTTGCCCGGGAGATGGCAAGGGGTTGTTTTAGTGGTTCTTGAGGATGTTTATTTTCAAGTCATGCTTGGATACATGTCCTCCTCACAACTTCTGACTATTTGATATACTCAACTCCTTTTGGAGGGAAGGCAAGTTTTTGTTACTTGGTTTCTTAAGTTTTCAAGGCCAAATCATAAACCATCACTACCGTCCACCAAGCAAAGGCCGTTTGTTACAATGTCTTTTTTTTTTCTTCACATGGATATAACCATGAAAGAGCAAATGAAATGTGTCAGCTCTTACTAGAAAATTGCCTCCCCACCCCCCCTCCCCCAGTCTGTGTAGCGCTAACCACATAGCTGGGGCGAGCATGTGAAATAACCTCTCTTCACCCTTCCCCTTCTGATCTAATGAGAGCCACAGATGATTAATGACAGAACAGTTTTCAAAGTAGCTGTTGTACTTTATGCCCCACCCAAGGTCACTGGGAGACAGGAGGCCAGAGAAAGCAGGAGGAAGTTGTGGAAGACAGCTGGAGACCTCCACAGGCCTGGGATAGAGAGACTGGAGTCTCAGAAACCACAGGAGGTCAGGGCCCCAGACTCAAAAAGACTCTGGAGTGAAGCAGGAAAACTGAGAGGGACTGAGGCAGGCCCAGGGTTAGAGACCACTCCTTCAGAGCCAGGCGACCAAAAGCAGACACCTCCAGTGACAGGGAGACAAAGGAGAAAGCACCCAGTCTCCAGGATGTGGCGGCTTCCTTTGAAGAGCCAGCACAGGCTGGTTTGAGCAGCTGGTGACCCGGTGACCGGGATTGAGAACACCTGGGTGAAGTTGGAACTGCCCCGGTGGGGCCAGATCAGAGTGGGGTGTGCGAATCCACACAGCAAATCTTCATTCCTTCGCTTAGAAGGCTCCAGAATGGATGCTTGTGCTACGAGTCAGGGGTGTGTGTGTGTGTGTGTGTGTGTGTCTGTGACATGCAGCTGCTCTTGTTTGTAACTGACCTCCACCCTCTGGGGTTTTTAATTTAGGGAAGCCTTTTGCATGTACCCTATCACCACCGCCGGCCCATTTAAGGAGGCACCTTCCCCTTCCCATTCCCTAGGCTTCTCCAGAATTGCAGAGCTAGGGTGCCCATCATAGTGCTGTCTGCAAGTCATCTCCAAAGCCTTGTTCCAACCTTCCCTCCAGCTGGGCTCCCCCTGTTCCTCCAGTTTCCCAGGAGCCTTTGCTGTTGCCTTTCAGTCTTCAGAATGGCCTATGCCCTCTCATGCCTTGGGACACAGAAAAGCCGGTTATCAGCCTGGAACACCTTCCCTTCTGCTTCAGTCAGAGTCTTCGAAGCCTAGCACGGATATTCTGTTTTCCGTGAGTCTGACTCAGCTAGAGTTTATTGCTCCTCCTTTGTACAGCCCTTGGGTTATTCTGTGTTTGTGTTTACATAACATTATTTAACCCAGGCTGTCCTAATTAGAATGTTGCCCATCCTCCACAGGCAGGAGTGAGCTCTTAGATGATCACATCCATCCATTTGTTTTATGTCAGATATTTCCACTTGCTTAAAGAACAAATCAACTCACTCTCATATTTATTTTTTACAGTTCTATTATTAGCACCATGTTATTGAAGAATGACCAAATACTTTCCCAAAGTCACAGTGGTCAATAAAGATTGGAACCCAGTCAGTCAAGCTCCTTCCTGAACTCCTAAGTGGCGGGTTGAACTGTTTACCTGACTGTCAGTCACTGGACTCGGTAGACTGATTTGCACATGGCAGGATAATAACTGTTCATTGGGTCAAAAGACGGAGGAGTCATCTTTTGACATCAATGCCAGGAGTCAGGCTGTAGGACTGGAAAGGTGGCCATGGCTATAAAAAGGTCCCACAGTGCTGGAGCTGTCCTGATGGCTACAAAAAGGTCCCACAGTGCTGGAGCTGTCCTGATGGCTACAAAAAGGTCCTACACCGATGGAGCCATCCTGACTTTCAATTGGCCTGGAAGTTCCGAGGGTCTATAAAAGGAATTAAATCCCGTAGAACCAAA